ATTTCTTAGCACACCATTCATACCAAGGAAAAAATCTTGTATTAATCCCTTTTTCTATCATGAAAGTATAATAAGGTTTCTTCAGGAAAGTTCTTCTTTCTGGGCTATAGGCTTTTTCTAGCCATTCTCTTTTTAGAATACTCTTTATTGAGATAATATTTCTCAATGAAGTCTCTATCTGGTTCAAATTTTGTTATTACACAAATGTTTGATTCAACATTGTCCCATGTAAATTTTGGTTGTAAGTGTGGATTTCTAGAGTTCATAGAAGGAGTTGTGGCTCTAATATTTTCTACCTTATAGAAAAAGTAATGCACTTGTTCTTGGGTTTTTCTAAGGCCTTCTAGGAAAGTCTTTTCATGGCCTTGCTCATATAGCTTGTTTCGGGTGTTGTCTTCCTAAAAGAATTTATTTTTAAAATGTTTTTCCTAAGGGAATCAACACTTCTTCAAGGACCTAAACATAGCCTGGTTAACCTGTCATTGTTAAAATGTATTTCTACATCTCCATCATCATATTGGTTAATATGGCTAGGTTCTCGATTTTGGATGAGCTAAGGAGGAATTACATCCTGCAATCTCCCTCTTTCAAATAGAGTAATTTCGTTCCATCTAATCATTTTGGGTACCACAGTATGTGCCTTTTTCTAAATTAGCTTGGAATAAAACGGTTTGTCCTTTACTATCCATGACTTTGGCTCATTGTACAATGGTATTCATAACCTTATATGAAATTTGGTAAATCACAGCGAGATTCTGTGATCAGGGTCCATATCATATCCTTGGGTATCCACACTTAAGGTAAAGGTCTTTAAGACTCCGGGATTGGATAACGACAATGAGAAGTTCGGGTAACAATTAAAGTAAAGTGGCCCCTCACTTAAAGAAGACTCTATTAATCCCAACATGGAATTAACAAAACTTTTGTGATGTTTATCCCTTAAACAAAGTAGAATTGAGGTATCTAACCCTGTTCTAGTTAACGTTTCACCGCAACCTGTATTAGACCTATATGCAAATAATTGTGACCCTTTTGTATATGTTGATCTATTTGGTGTTGAAAGAGTAGTTGGAAGTCTGCACTAGCATCAGTGAAGGGAATGGTTTTTTCAACTGTTTTAAGTAGTCTGATTTAAATTCAAATGTTACCTTCTAATAAATATCAAAAGTTGGGACTCTGGGAATATTCCAATTTTCTAAATCCTTTTCTATATTCAAGATGGTTACTTCTTCAACATTTTTAACCCCCCCCCCTCATTAGTCTCGAACTATTACTACGATTAGAACCACTACTGCTACCTACAGTTCTCTTACTCAAGGATCTAAGTAAACCAATCATTAGAAGAAAGTTTCTCTACTTCTTTGTTCCCTAGGTGATGTGTCGACAGACTTATTACCTAAACCAAAAATGGCCCAGAGACGTCAGAATAGTTGAAAATGTTTAATCTTGTTTAAATTTATTATTAAGTCTATAAACAAGCAGAGAATATATATATATATATATGAAGATAACAACACAATAATTATGAATTGAAATAAACAAAGATAAAATAAAGGATAAGTACAGACTGAAATAAAAAACGATAAAATAAGCATAAGGTGAAAAGCAAACTTACATTAATTTATTAATTTTTGAGATTTACGAGGAAGAACCAAAGTCGAAAAGAAAGACAACAGTTAAACACTCAAACACCCAATAATATAGTTAACAAAGTGAAAGTTTTCTCGTCCTCTTACAATTGGGCTCGGAGGCTCAATAAACAAAAAACTAAAAGCAAACTCAAAAGCCAAGTGTCGCACAGGCAATGAAGCATAAAAAAAGAAGCCTACACTAATAAGCGACATCTTCACTTTTTGCAATGACACTGACTTGGCTTCACGTGGAGCATTAGAAAGATTCTTGAAAAAAAAAAAACACATACCAACAAGCAGCTACATAAACCATAGCACAACTATTCAAAAAGGAATAAAAGCTGACATCTAGATTTCAGACAGCATCTTGTCTTATCTTTATTCAGAGAAAAGCACTTCATGCTTTATTTCTTTGGATGGATAGGAATACATATTCCATAGCAGACATCCTCATTATCATCTATGTAGTCTTCATCCATGTTATACTGAGACGACCCAGCTTCAGATCTCATCTCTTCGTCATCTAGACTGTCCAGCTCAAGGATTTTAAGAACTTTATCTTTTAGATCTTTCTTTGAACAAGATAGGCTGGACTCGATTAAAGACTTAAGTTTTTCAATCTTTGATGATGATGATTCAGGGGTTGATCGGGAATGTTCAATAGCACACTGCCTATCAGGCAAGATTTTTATGGCCTTAAAAATGTTTGGCTTAAGATGGTCCAAGTGAAACTTATCCCACCAACAGATAAAGAGCTTTCTTTTAAGCTGGGGAACGAAATTCCAAGCACCATCATCGTCGTCAACAAAACCATAGTCCCATTTCAAGATCCAAGGGAGTTCATAAAATATTATGAACCAAAGAAACAACTTCCTCTTTTTAGGATAGTCTGCATTTTCTTTACTAAAATTGTCTGGAAAAGAATCAACAATTACTTGGGGCAAATAATCCAAATTTGGTCCCCAAATAATAAACCATGTTCTAAACCACTCTTTCAAAGTTCTGAGACGAAACTAAATGAACCAAGTGTGAGAATAACGGATATTTTGAAAACATAAAAATACATCCTAAGCTTTTTGGTAATCCCATAAATTATACCCCGTTGGACTCATATCAGAACTAGAGTGTACACACACACACGCACACACACACACACACACACACACACACACACACACACACATATATATAAATATATATATCAGTTGTCGTGGGTCTGTTGGGTAAAATTTTTGGGTGGGTTGGTGATGGGTATTGGCAGTTTGGGAGGTGTTGCGATGGTATGCGTTGGTTCAAGAGTGGGGATGGGTGTGCTTTGGGTGGTTGAATTGCAAGAGGCAAATGAAAAGGGTTCAATCTAAAAGAGTAGTTTCGGTCGAAATTATGATTACGGATGTTGGCTTTCTTCCAAAATTTAAATACCTCATCAAAGTCAGTAGTTCGATTCCAAGAATATCAGGAGTTTGATTCCTAATTTTGGATGCAGCCACTAATAGTTTGCATTCCAAAAATTTGGTAAACACCATAATCACCTACGGAAGAATTCAATTCCCTTTCTTCTACTTCCATTTCGAATACGTAAACATGCCATAAGTCTATTAAAAGAAGAGACACTAATTACAACAATAGTATGCTTTTAAATATATAGCACATATATACATGAGACAAGACACAAAATAATATAATATGTATGTCGATAAAATGCACTTATAGTACTTTTAGTATGTAAGTGTATGATTATATAAAAATTATGAATAATACAATCCGAAACTAAAAAACTGATTGAAAGATGCATAAATTAGTAAATAATTATAAAATTTTAAAGTGAGTGGCAAGTTAGTTTGGTAGACAGGCTTTTCTTCAACCCACAACGCTTCTGTTATATTCCTTATGACATGCATACCTTAAAATAGTAATATCGTTTTTAAGAAGAAAAATTATAAAAGTTAAGATTTCTTCGACTGTAATATATTTGTACTAACTTTAAAGACTATTTAGCCTACATGGTGCACATGCCGAATAGCTAATGAGCTAGCTACGTCATTCAGTTGAATGGTGGACGTGCCAGCTTGTCGACCAAGCTCAGTTGGTGAGTAAATGAATGTGGCGGTGGTACCAAATGCAATGCTAACTTCTATATCTAAGTGAACATAGGCAAGGAAGGAACTCCTATCGGCCTCTAGGTACTAGGGTACGAAGATAAAGATGTTAGCCACTGCAAAGTTCAGGAATCGTCTATACCGTGCTCGGCTATTTCAATTATATTTGTGAAAATATAAGTTCACCGAATCAGTATCGAATTGTATGAACACAAATACTCAAAGGAGATGAGTGTCTTGCTTGTAAATGTGGTTCCACGTTAGAATACCGAACTCTAAAATGCACTTGAGTATATCCAATCATAAAATGGGTTGGTTTTCAATTGTGTCGAACAACGTAACCCAGTAACACATCAACTCGCCGAGAGGCTAATGAGTTGACCTCTTCCAATAAGGACTCAAAGACTCCTTGTTGATAGAGAATTGGATAAATAGTCTACCAAACTTGAAGTAATGCTGCTAATCCAAACTGAAGGTGGTCCTCAATCAACTCTAGTGCTCTAGTGATGTTAATCCAAACTGAAAATGTCGTCGGTTGTTAACCACAATATTGTTGATCTAAACTAAAGATGCGTTTGATGAAGTTGGGAAGGTTAGTATTTTCTCAAAGATGAGAGAGTTTCGCGTAAAGTGAGAAATTGCACAGGGCAAATTTGTTTGTCATGTTGAAAGCCCTCTGAATCTAAACCGGCTTCCAAAGAGTCCTTCACTTACTAGGACTTGGCCATTCCCTGGGTTGGACTTCTTAAAAAACATGAACTGGGCCGAGATCTTTGCGCTGGGTTGAACCCACAATTATGTTCAGCCCAAGCCTGATAGTTTGGGTCCAAACAATTTGAATAGAGAATTGCTAAGGAGTCTCTCAAAGAAATCTCCATGGACTCGCTACCACCTCACAGTTTAACGTTAATTCCATTGCCACCATTACAATATATTGTGCTAAAAACATGTAGTTGTAGAGAGCCCATTGAAAGTCAAAGTCTCCTTTTAGCATTTCTCATTCGAAAACATGGGTGTCCTTAAAGGAAAGGGATCCTCTTAGGATCCCTTCCATCAAATCCACCCAGTCTTAAAATCCGGGTCATTGAAATTTGATCCAATGGTTACAATTATTATAACTTTTAAAGGGACTAAAGGATCTCCTGCTTGTAGCTGTTGGATCAAATTTCAACAGCCTGAATTCCCAAAATTAAGGATTTGGTGGAAGAAATCTGGGGAGGATCACTAAGGACAATCTAACAGAACATGAGTAACCCAACTTGAAAATGGCCGACCCGGCCCGGTAGGAGCGTTTGGCAAACTGAAGCCGGCGTTGTCCTTCCTTGCAGATAATTTTGAGCAAATTCCCCTCCTCCCTCCTTCCTCTTCAACAAAATGACGACTCTGTTATCTACAGCAGCTCTTCCTTCAATAACAAAGCTCAGCCTGAAGCTTCTCAATCTCAACAATGGCGGCAACCTCCATCCAAAACCTTCTCACCTTTCAGCAGGTAAACCCTAACAAAACCCTTCCTCTCCATTTCCCTTCCGATTTCTCCATTTCCAGCTACAATTTGAATAACACAATCTTTTCATCTTGTTTTCGGGTTTGGTAGGATTCAGTTTAGATAAAAGCAACAAATTTTCATTGATTAGTTGTGCTGTAAAGAAGCAAGAGAGCACTGAAACGACCCAGAAAGTAAATGGGAAGATTACACGAAGGATAGGTGGTGGAATTGGGAACCCATTTTTGAGTGAGGGAAGGGATGAGGATGAGAGGAATGGACCGTTTTGCCCTGGGTGTGGGGTGTTTATGCAAGATAAGGACCCAAATGTTCCTGGGTTTTATCAGAAAAGAAAGATTAATGTGTCAGAATTGTCAGATGGTGAGGAGGGTGTTGAGGGTGAATTTGAAGACTTCGATGTTGAAGAGGAGAAGGTGGAGGAGGAGTTTGTGGATGAAATTGAGGGAAAGTTTGTAGAAAGTGGTGAAGAAGATAGTGAATTGGAAATGGGGGATGAGTTTGAGTGGGATTCCGATGAATTCGAAGCCAAGTTGTTGGGGGAGGAAGAAAATGATTTGGATTTGGATGGTTTTACTCCAGCGGGGGTTGGGTACGGTAACATCAAAGCGGAAACTATAGAGAAGATGAAGAAGAAGGTGCCAAAATCGGAAAAGAAGAGAATGGCTAGAGAGGCTCAGAAAGAGAAAGAAGAGGTTACGGTGTGTGCCCGATGTCATTCATTAAGAAATTATGGGCAGGTGAAGAACCAAGCAGCTGAAAACTTAATGCCTGATTTTGATTTTGATAGGTTGATCGCAACCCGGCTGATTAAACCTGCTGCGAGTGCCAATCCTGTTGTGGTTATGGTTGTTGATTGTGTTGATTTTGATGGATCATTCCCTAAACGGGCAGCAAAGTCATTGTTTGCAGCATTAAAAGGAACTGAAAATGATCCTAAACTTAGGAAAAGACTGCCAAAGCTTGTTCTTGTGGCCACAAAGGTTGATCTCCTCCCATCACAAGTTTCGCCTGCTAGATTGGATAGATGGGTCCGCCATCGTGCTAAGGCTGGAGGAGGACCTAAACTAAGTGGGGTGTATATGGTTAGTTCTCATAAGGATTTGAATGTCAGGAATCTGTTATCCTTCCTCAAAGAATTGGCTGGCCCTCGAGGGAATGTATGGGTTATTGGGGCTCAAAATGCTGGCAAGTCCACTCTCATAAATGCACTAGCAAGGAAAGAAGGGGCAAAAGTCACAAAGCTCACGGAAGCTCCAGTTCCTGGGACAACATTAGGGATCCTGAGAGTTGGAGGGATCTTGTCAGCTATGGCAAAGTTGTTTGACACTCCAGGACTTCTGCATCCATATTTGGTGTCCATGAGATTGAATAGAGATGAACAGAAAATGGTTGAAATACGGAAGGAGCTTCGTCCTCGGACTTATAGGATAAAGGCAAGTTCATTCTTTCCATTTTGTTGTATTCTGGACCTTTTTTTTTTTTTTTTAAATACGCATGTATTTGTTATGTGCATTTGTTTGTTTATACATATTTGACTACAGCTACTATAGGATAAATGTTGAGACCTCGTGCAAGTGTTATGAATTGATTTTGAGGCAAATCTTGTTGAAAGTCTAATAATTGGTTATACTTAATACCAAATGAACATATTCAATAACCTATTGGGTACAGGTCACCAATTTTCTGCAATAATCGAAGGACATGTAAACTTGACCTTATTCGTAAGCACTTACTTTTTCAGGTTTCTTGTTATAGTTGCAGATTATGAATGGTTTGCGGAGCCTCATTTGATTTTTTTTGCTCAAATTATCTTAAAATGCAAGTTTGAAGAACATGCTTATTTCTTGGCTCAAATTCCACAAAAAGGATTTTTAACAATTCAGTCGATGTCAGGATCTTTTGTTTACTTCTACAACAGATACTAGCTTATAATCTCAGTTGGAGGTTATCAGTTCAATAATCTATTTAGATTGTACTTTAAAGTTTTTTTTTTTTTTAATGAAAAGAAAGCCCTTATAATCTATGCATACATATGTAGTTTTTCGATTCATGAGAATGGACTAATGATCAAATCTAAGTGCTACTAATCATAAGTTTGATATCTGCAGGCAGGACAAACCATACATGTTGGTGGTTTACTGAGACTAGATCTTGTTCAAGCTTCTGTTGAAACAATTTATTTGACAGTTTGGGCTTCACCAAATGTTTCTTTACATATGGGGAAGACAGAAAATGCTGATGAGACATGGAGGAAACATGTTGGTATTAGGTTGCAGGTAATTCTTTATCCCAGTTGGATACATCTTTGTCATGATTTTGCATTTTATCGCATAGTTCAATTCGATTTGATTCTGGATCCAAATTTTTAATGATATCATCTTGATATCTGCCAGTAATATAAAATGATCCTTACTGAAATTTTATTTTATGTATGCATTTTGTGTATGAACACATTTGAGTGTGATTCATCCTTTAAAATTTGGTCAGCAGTTATAGGAACTAGTCTTTACTCTAGAAGATGTTTGACAGGATTTTTTGGATGTGAGGAGTTGTAGTATTAATCATATTTCCGCAGAATAGACTGGCGCTCTGAATCCTTTGAAGATTCTAGATTACCCTGTAGTCATCAATGGTTCCTCATCTTGGATATGTAACATTGACCATGAATCTGATTGAACATATATTAATATTATTGTTTGGAAACTAAGCCTTCCTGTATGTTCTTAGGAAGTTTGTACTTCAATTCCTGTTCTGGCATAAGAGCCAATTTTTTCCCAAATTAGGTTGGTTTGGTTGTTGAGTTGTGCTGAACCAAGCATGCAAAAAATGTTTGCAATTTTGTCAACTCCAAGGGTCTCCCACAGTTGTAGAGGAGTGTCCTCTATTAGCTGTCCAAACCAATTAGGCCGCGAAACAGCCCTCCTGAAGTGGTAATCACACTGACATTCGAAGATTTTTTTTTCCCCACATTTTGTAATTGCAGTCCATATGTTCCTGTGATATTGATATTCACGAAAGTTTGAACATTGTAAAGTCATAATTTACTTCGGTTGATAAATGACTGGATTGTTAGGTTTTAATCTTTGTCAATTCAATTGATTTGCCTAAAACTGTCAGCTTTGCAGGTTGCGTTCATTTTAGTTTCTGAGGATTTTAAATATTCCTCTTAATTCACTTAGGTTGATAAATGAACATGTCTCTTTTGGCTTTCATTGTTGTCATTTCATATACAATGAATCAATGTTTGCCTAGAAAGTTTCAGTTTCCACTTGGTAATTACGTTTTGGTGAACTTCAACTACATTACGGGATTAACAGTATGATCGAGTTTATTTCACAACACAACCGTTCTTTGTGTATAGGACTATAAAGAACAAATGATTGTTTAAGTTTTGGGATAACTAAAAAAAGGTCCCTCACAGAACCTTTTTTCATCGAAAAACACTTTAGACAACTTTTCTTATTATTAAGGACACTTTTTATATTATAAGGACAAAAAACAAAAAGGGAGTCGCACTTCATGAGGTTTTAAAATTAAAAAAATGTCCTTAATAATAATAAAAGATGCCCTTAATGATAAAGAAAGTCGTCTAAGAGTTTTTGAATAAAAAAAAGTTTTGTGAGGGGATTTTTATTTAATTTCCTGTTGAGTTTTCTGTCTGACTGTCTTGGATTAACATTGGCATTGAAGCAAGAAGAAACTTGCAACACCTCTTTGCAGTTTGTCTGCTTGGACAGAGACTCTAGTAAAAGACTTGGACTACTTGGATCTAACGGAAGACATGACACAAAACCGAGGACAATGGCGTTCTAGGATTCATATATCCGACCTCACTTAGTGGGATAAGGTTTTGTTGTTGTTGTTGTTGATGTGGAATGTCTCTTGAAAGGTTTTGCAGTTTTACTTTTGCGAGTTGCTATGTTAATACATAATTAGTTTTATAAGACAACCATCCGGTATCATGGAAAGGTTAAATGCACAGTAGCATCCTCAGAAACCCACCAATTAATTAATAATCAAACTTATTTCTCTAATTGGTAATCATTAATTGAAAAGCCCCTGTTAGTACTATTGTTAGCTACCCTAATCTAAGTAATTAGTTTCTTTTTCCCTTTGAATGTTCAAGAAACAATGAAATCTCTTTGGTTTACTGTACTTTTACTCACTGGACCTTGCCTTGTACTTTTGCAGCCTCCAATTGGCGCAGACCGTGCCGCTGAGATGGGAAAATGGGAAGAGAAGGAAATCAAAGTGTCTGGAGCAAGTTGGGATGTGAATAGCATCGATATTGCAGTAGCTGGTTTAGGTTGGTTGTCGTTAGGTCTTAAAGGGGAAGCAACCTTGACGCTGTGGACATATGATGGCATTGAAATTACTTTGAGAGAGCCGTTAGTTCTTGATCGGGCACCATCTCTTGAGAGACCCGGGTTTTGGCTACCGAAAGCAATATCTGAGGCAATTGGTAACCAGAGTAAACTTGAAGCTCAGAGGAAAAAGCTTCAAATGGAGAGTGCAGATTCCCTTTCCGAGGTATCCATTTGAATAGAAGAGAAGAGAAGCTTGATTGTTCTGCCTTATTTTCGACTGGCAACATGATTCACCTCGTAGCTCTGCAAGTCAGCTTGGCGTTTAAGAGGGTTTTTCGACAGCTCTTTGAGTTTAGTGTTGCGTTAGGTGTTTATCTTTATAGGTGTAATACAAAATTTGTAATGTGACGTAAATGCAATGTGTATATTGAATCATTTTTAGGCCGCGAGTTCAAACTATAGAGCTTTATCCAGCCAATTCCATGGCCATGAAATAGCTTTCTGCAAATTTTCAAACAAGGAAACATCACAACACATATAAGTATATATGTATGCATATATGTACTTCATATGCGAAGGCAAGAAAAACGTATTAACTAGGGTTTTGGGTTAGCAATCGAACAAGGAATTGCCATCACAATTAATTAATTACAAGATTGTAATTAAGGGCATGTTCACTTACAAGGAATAGAAAGTAGGAATTGTAACCATTTTCATTCTTGAGTTTCATGTGTTCATTAATATATGGGTAAGCGAATCATTTCATTCCTTAATTTTTCCTTGAGTATACTGACGAATCCTTAATCAAATACCTAAAAATTAGGAATCAGATCAACCAGAGCCTAAGGGGGAATAGTTAATTTGATTATGTTTCCTCATTTCTCCTATGTTTTTAAGCTCTTCGATTCCCTTCTTTTCCCATTTTTTGTTAAATAGACATGCCTAAGTGTAATTTTGATTTCCTCTCCTTTTAGGAATCCTAATCTTTACACACCAAGGTAGGTTTGTGATGTATATGTGGAGCAGTTAACCATGAATAAAATCAACCTCTCCCTCTCTCTCTAACACAGCCAGCCATGGGCCAACTGCTCCTTAATGCATTTGCAACAACAGGAGATCCATTTGAAAATCTTCTCATCTACCTGCTAACATTTCTCAATTCCAAGTACTGGAGATTAATTGAAAAGGATTAAAAATATCCTGATTCAAGTTCATTGATAGAGAGCGCAAAGATGCTACATGGCACTAAAACATACTGGTGTCACTGTGAGAAACGAAAATCAAGCTCTTCAAAATTACACCTTAAAGCATTACAAATCCACATCAGTACTCGAAATTGATCATCACAAAGCTTCTTCACTGTTTCAGTTTTGAAGAAACTCCACCTGATGTGGAAGCGTTGAATCCTATTATGACCACGATCAAGCAGATATCCATCTAAAGTGCTCAACGGCCTCGCTAGATAATGGTTGGTTTGTCCTTTTGGACTGTTAATTGAACCAAAATCCACGACTGGAACTGATAGATGAAATTGTCTGCATCTTTTGGACACAGCGCCCACTCGAGTGAGGTTTTTATAATCTAGGGAGGAAGGAATATGATGAGCAAATTCATCTGGAAGATCACTAAATCTGTCTATACCACTTTCAGAACAAGTTCCTTCATCTTGACAACTTGTAGATGCCTGGAACTTACGCTTGCGCCCCATCGTAGTGACTCCTGAAGGCGATATCTGGTCAGAGCTACTAGAGATAATCCTTCCTGCAACCAAATTAAAGCAACGGTTTATGATAACTACACACACCAATTGTCCAGTTAAACTAAATTTTTGGAGCTAAACAGGATGCCCCCTAATTAAATTCAGACAAGGGCATATCATCAAACACTTTCCAGGCACATTCACAAAACCTTAAGGAGAAATCAACAAGACTAACAATTTACAATTACACAGAAATCGAATTTGAAATCTGAGTTTTCAAGAAATCGCATGTTCTGCAAACAAATACTTACAGGTGGTAATAGCTTTTGGTAAAAAATCTTTTAATGTAGCTGGAAGAGAAAATAGATGAGTGTAGAGTGATTACTTGCCACACAAGGCATTTAATGGGAACTACTCCTAGGGTTATGGTTATTTTAATATTTTTATAGAAAACAAGTTTTGTGAGGTACTTTTTATTAATTTTCTGTTGAGTTTTCTGTCTGTCTGTCTTGGATGAACATTGGCATTGAAGCATGAAGAAACTTGCAATACCTCTTTGCAGTTTGTCTGCTTTGAAATCTTCATTTCTATCATGTGATGTGGAACGTGTCTTGAAAGGTTTTGCATTTTTCCTTTTGCGAGTTTCTATGTTATACATAACTAGCTTTCAGAAGACAATGATCCGGCATCATGGAAGGGTCAAATGCACAGTAGCATCCTCAGAAACCCGCCAATTAATTAATAATTAAATTTTTTTTTCTGTAATTGATAATCATTAATTGAAAAACCGCTGTTAGTAATACAGTTAGTTACCTTAATCTACAGTAATTAGTTTCTTTTTCCCTTTGAACGTTCAAGAAACAATGTGAAATTCTATGTTTCATGTTCTTGCAAAATGCAGCCGCTCCTTCAGTTTACTGTACCTTTTACTCACTGGATCTTGCGTTATACTTTTTCAGCCTCCAGTTGGCGCTGACCGTGCTGCTGAGATGGGAAAATGGGAAGAGAGGGAAATCAAAGTGTCTGGAGCAAGTTGGGATGTGAATAGCATCTATATTGCAGTAGCTGGTTTAGGTTGGTTTTCATTAGGTCTCAAAGGGGAAGCAAGCTTGACGCTGTGGACGTATGGTGGCATTGAAATTACATTGACAGAGCTGTTACTTCTTGATCGGGCACCATCTCTTGAGAGACCCGGGTTTTGGCTACCGAAAGCAACATCTGAGGCAAATGATAACCAGAGTAAACTTGAAGCTCAGAGGAAAAAGCTTCAAATTGAGAGTGCAGATTCCCTTTTCCGAGGTATCCATTTGAAGAGAAGAGAAGCATGATTGTTCTGCCTCATTTTCGACTGGCAACATGGTTAACGCGACAGTTCGTTAAGTTTAGGTGTTTATTGTGGAGGCAAAAGTAATTCCAAAAATCATGGTGCAAACATGTTGATTATTTTCCAAGAAAGACAAGACTGTCTTTATTAAATGAGTAAGGAGCATTCTCATTCACCATGCCCATCCGAGGTAGAGGAGGCAAAAATCAACGACTGCTCAAGATATGTGTTTAGAATATTGATGATAAAATATCCCTTATTCCTATAATAAATACATTCATAATCAGATAATACATCTTTCAAGTTAGTAATCCTCATTTCATTTATTTAGGATATCTATTTAATTACTTCAAGATATTATTTACACAAATATCTTAGAATATTCTCACTTAAACACAAACCTAGGGCCAGCCACCCCTAAACCCTAGAGGGCCGGCCCACTTCCTCCTTTTCTCCAATAAATACCCTCTTTATCTCCAAAATTGAGGAGGCTTTTGCTACCCGCAAACTTCTAAATGCATTCTTTTCAGAACTCTAACTTTGGCATCGAAGATTCTTCGGCCAAGGCCCCCCTCCCCCATTCATCATGGCGCGTGAGGCTTTTGGCCATAATTTTAGATGTTATTATTTTGTAAATGCATATTCGTCAATTAAGGGAAGGCAAAAATTTGCATTCATATTTATTGGAATACAAAATTTGTAACATGAGGTAATACAATGTGTATATTGAATCATTTTTAGGCCGCGAGTCGAAACAATAGAGCTTTCTCCTGCCAATTCCATGGCTTTGAATTAGCTATCTGCAAATTTTCAAACGAGGAAGGAAACATCACAATAGATGTATGTATGTATGTATGTATGTATGTATGTATGTATGTATGCATGCGTGTATGTATGTATGTATGTGTGTGTGTGTATGTGTGTATGTATGTGTGTATGTGTGTATGTGTGTATGTATGTGTGTATGTGTGTATGTATGTATGTGTCTGTATGTATGTACGTGTACATGTATGTGTGTATGTATGTATGTATGTATGTATGTATGTAAGCTGTGAAAGGCAGGAAAAACGTACGTACTAACTAGGATTTTGGTTGGTAAACGAACATAACAAGGAATTGCCATCACAATTATTTAATTACAAGAATTGTAATTTAGGTCATGTTCACTTACAAGGAATAGAAATAGGAATTAGAATCAATTTGATTCTTGAGTTTTTTTTCTTTTGAACAAAAATTCTTGAGTTTTATGTATTAAAATATAGATAAGTGACTCATTTTAGTCCTTAATTTTCTCCTAAATTTACTTACACATAAGGAATCAGAAAAGTGTAACATTTTCTCTTGATATCCATAATTAAATGCCTAAAAATTAGGAATCAGATCAACTAGGGCCTAGAGGACTAGTTAATTTGATTCGCTTTCTTATTTCTCCAAATTTTTTAAAGTTTTCCGATTCCTTCCTCTTCCCACTTTTGTTAAGTAAACATGTCACTCTGTTTGGACAAGGAAATTTAAGATTATTAAGGAATTTTAAAATGATGGAAATTGAAATAACGAAATTTTATTTTCTAAAATTTGTGAATTTTCTTGTTAGGTTAACCTAAAAAACAATGGAATTCGATATGGAATCTATTATTTTAAACTCTCAATCATAGAAATTTGGAAATACATGTGACATCCCACATCGCCCAGGGGACTGATCCTTAAATGTATATTCCCATCCTACCTAGCACGAGGCCTTTTGGGAGCTCACTGGCTTCGGGTTCCATGGGAACTCCGAAGTTAAGCGAGTAGCGCGCGAGAGCATTCCCAGGATGGGTGACCCATCGGGAAGTTCTCGTGTGAGTTCCCAAAAACAAAACCGTGAGGGCGTGGTCGGGGCCCAAAGCGGACAATATCGTGCTACGGTGGTGGAGCGGGCCCGGGAAGTCGTCCCACCCGGGCCGGGATGTGACATTTGGTATCAGAGCCTAACCCTGGTCGCGAATGTGCCGACGAGGACGTCGGGCCCCTAAGGGGGGTGGATTGTGACATCCCACATCGCCCAGGGGTGATCCTTATATGTATATCCCATCCCTACCTAGCACGAGGCCTTTTGGGAGCTCACTGGCTTCGGGTTCCATAGGAACTCCGAAGTTAAGCGAGAAGGGGGCTAGAGCAATCCCATGATGGGTGACCCACTGGGAAGTTGCTCGTGAGTTCCCAAAAACAAAACCGTGAGGGAATGGTAAGCCCAAAGCGGACAATATCGTGCTACGGTGGTGGAGTTGGGCCCGGGAAGTGATCCGCCCCGGGTCGGGATGTGACAATTTGGTATCAGAGCCTATCCCTGGCCGGAAATGTGCCGACGAGGACGTCGGGCCCCTAAGGGGGGTGGATTGTGACATCCCACATCGCCCAGGGGACTGATCCTTAAATGTATATTCCCATCCTACCTAGCACGAGGCCTTTTGGG